ATCCAAACCTTATGGCTAATAGCCACTGATGGACTTCTGCTCCATATGTTCATCTAATTCTCTCTTGAAGCTGTCCATGTTTGTAGCAGCCACCACCTCCTGTGGCATGAATAACTGTAACTTTTACATACCCCAAAAGTAAATATTTCCATGTATAAGAATGAAGATTACCTCAAATGTTAATATAGAAAAGAGGGTAGCTCAGCTCCTAAAAGTTTGGGAAACATTGTATTAAAAGAATGCATTAATTTTCAGTCAACATGATCCTGGATTGGCCAGATACGTCATTGCCTTATTCTTCTGGCTGTGCATGACACACAAACAAGGGACGTGTACAATGAATGTAGTCTTTAACCACTTATTTTATACATACCCTTTGGAGACTAAAGTGGTTAAAAAAACCTGCCTTTAATTTTGGCTTGCTTACAAACAACAGGTGCTAATCAATGAAGGCCAGGTTGCACCTATGTGTCAAGATGGAGGCTGAAAGGGTATGTGCCAAGAGTAGAAAATCTGACAGATCTGGATTTAGACAGAGGGGAAAGACAGCTTGAATTTGAAGTTTTCTGAGCAAGGTTGCCAAGACTTTGGCAGTATATACACAATGAAACTACCTTACACTGAGTCAGACCAATGTCAGTATTTTGAATGGCAGCGCCTGCAGGGTCTCAGGTGATCTTTCACATTTCCTACTAGCTGATCTTTTTTATATACTGGAAATGCCAGGTATGGAATCTTCTGCATACAAAGCAGATGCTCTACTACTTAGCTGCATCCCCACACCAGAGTAATTTCTGGGACACTGGGTGCTTCTGCTGTTACCTGGAAAGGAGAGCTCCCTGTATGCAACTCTTACTCTTCATCTGCTAAATCTACACCTTATTAAAGAATTTGTTACAAAAGGAAGTAGAAATCCTTAGCACTTTCTTCTTGCAACTGAGCTTTCCTTCCTTTGCTAGATAAGTTTCATTAATGTGGGAAAGCAATATTGGATTTAGTCCAACAAATGTTGGGTGTGCCTAAATCTCACTGACATTATCATGTGTTGAAGTCCCAGTCATTTCTATAGAATGTAGGTGTGCCTAACTTTCTCTGTATTGTACCTATTGTTTGTTTTCTTAAATACAGGGTGGATGGCAAGAGGCAATTTGTTTGAATAGTGCCTTCTCTCTCAGGGTTGCCAGGTCCATCCTGGCAACTGGTTGGGGATGGGGGATGTTGCTGTGATGCTCTGGTATTTGAGCAAAAATTCTATGGTAGAAGCCATTTTTACCATAAAGTTTTTGCCCAAATACCAGAGAATTGCCCAGATGTCACTGGCGTGATGGCATCCCTTCCTATACAACACCAGTTACATGGCCAGGGTTTTCCTCTTTCTCCTGGTAAATTCCCCCACTGGCCAGCTGATCGGTAGAGGGAGACCTCCATGGGGGAGGGCTGGCAACCCTTTCCCCCCTCTGTACTTCAAATACATTATGCAAACACAATGAATTGAACACAATGAATTGTCTTTAAAATAATTATAGTCTCCTTTAAATAAGGGATAGTTAATTCAAGAAACACCTGTTGACTTGAGGGTAGTGCTTCAGTTCAGAAAGTGTAGGGATAGTACAAACTTATCATCGAGGGGAAAAGCCAAAACAAATTGTCTCCCCAAGTAATGTGATTTTTTTTTCTCGATTCAGAAGATGTGAATAGTTAGAGACTGGGTGAGTGTGAATGTTTTGACTGAAACTTCTGTCCTTTTCCTCAACTAATGAAACTGGTTTTAGTATCTATTGGAGAATAGGGAATGTAGAAAGTGATCTAGAATTTAGTCTACCAATTGGAATTTAGTAAAAAGAAACCCAGATCTATCTTGGGGTTTGGAAGGAGCCTAGTGGAGAGTTTATACAGCACAGAAATCCTCCATGCATCTTTTAGCTTAGAGCGAATACAGTGTAGCCTGTTCAGCTTTGTGTTAGGTCCTCAGGGAGTTTGTGGAATAAGAGATTGTGGAATGTGTTTACCACATAGTAGTTATTGTTAAAGTAACTGAACTTTGTTGCCTGGAGAGATTTCAGTGGGCTGAGATTGTTCTGGCTTTGATTCCACTTCCTGGATAGCAATTCTGTGTTGGAAGTTACTGGCTTTTGTGGCTAGAGGCGGACTCCGATCAGTGCTGTAAGGCCTAAATAATGCTGGAAAAAGGTTTGTGTTCTCGTTCTCTCTCTCTCTCTCTCTCTCTCTCTCTCTCTCTCTCTCTCTCTCTCTCTCTCTCTCTGAGTGGGTTCCAATTTTTTCTGCTGCTACTCAGTGTTGTGCACCTTTCTTGTTCCTTTTGACTAAGACATGTTGCTAGGATGGCTGAGAAGGAGCATCAGCTTTAGACGGGAAACGTTATCTTTTACTAGTAGAGAGTGCTTAACGAGAATCAACTTGACATTTTGACTGTTCAGATTCTAATTATAATGTTATGTACTAGACTGATGGTTAGCTTTCCATCAAGCCACACCATCTGCTCTAATAATATGGCTTTTTTTAAAACCAACTGGTTTTCTTGATAAAATTATTTCTCTCCATGGAACATTATTTGCACTACAGGACACATGACTGCAATATTGCTTGTGTAACTATAATGATCCACCCTTAAAGGACTGCTGTAAGGATTACCAAGAGGATGAGTGTGAAATATTTTGGGAACAAACAATATGCCATGTTACTATTATATATTTGTGCATGTTACGTTTGCAAGGTTTTGCTTTTCTCCTTAGAGCCAATTATAGTACAATGTGTTATGCTGAGCCATTTAAATCTATAGCCTACTGTACATAAACTAACAGTTCCCTTATGCAGGGATAATATACAAATATTTAGGTAGGAAGGGACTGGTTGTCATTCTTCATGAACATTAGTCATCAAGATGACTAAGTCTCTAGATATAATAAGTTTGCAAAACACAACAACTCTGAGGAACTGCTGACCTTTTATTGCATCAATCATTGTTTTCATTCATAACAAACATGATAAGCCTGGTAAGGATGTTGGACTTAGCTAAATCAAAAAAGGCTGGGTGTGGACTGTGTAACTTTATGATAGATTGGAACAAAAACAAAATAGGTATCTATCCAAAGTAAAGGTTCCCTTGCTCGAAAGCCAGTCGAGTCTGACTCTAGGGTTGCGGTGCTCATCTCTGTTTCAAAGCCGAAGAGCCAGCGCTGTCCGAAGATGTTTCCGTGGTCATGTGGCCGGCATGACTAAACACCAAGGCGCACGGAACGCTGTTACCTTCCCACCAAAGTGGTCCCTATTTATCTACTTGCAATTTCTTGCTTTCAAACTGCTAGGTTGGCAGGATCTGGAACTAGAGACGGGAGCTCACTCCGTCATGCGGCACCCGGGTCTTGAACTGCTGAACTACTGACCTTCCACAGCCTGCAGTTCAGCGTCTTAACCACTTGAGCCACCACAGCTCCCTATCCAAAGTACTTTATCTTAAACTATACTTTTATTTAAATATCCTAGTGTATAACAATTTATTTTCAAGGTGTGAGGAGGAAATAAACATTGAAAAGCATGCCAGGTTCATCACACAGAATAAAATTTCACATGGTGAAATAGAATTGATGGTCCCTACTTAATACAGTGGGCCTAATCCATTTGTAACATCAAAACAGCACCTCAGAAGCTAAGCAGGGCCAACTCTGGCAAGTACTTGGAAGGGCGACCTCCAAAGAATACCAGAGGCGGGACACAGAGGCAGGCTGATCAAGCCACCTCTCTGGAAAACGTCCAAGCCCCCAGTAGGGGTCGCCAGAAGTCATCATGACTTCCAGGCAAACACACAAACAAAATATTCTTTTGGAAAAAAGCACATTGAATTGTTTCAGGAGATAAGAGGAAGCCAGCGTACACATTAGAGCACTGATACAATGTGGTTTCTTCATCAGCCCCCATCAGGAGTCTGGACACTACATTCAACATCGACAGAGGTTTCTCAACATTCATTAGGAGTTTTGCTACAAAAACCGTATTGCAGTAGTCTAGCTTGAAGGTGATGAAGATAAGAAAATGGCTTCCAGATGTAGTTATCAACCAACAGCTACAAAATTGTATGGCAACCAGACGTTGAACGCTGTTTATGGAGGAAATCCCAGCCTCTGCTAGAACATGGGGCCTGTAAAACTTTATTACTTTAATGTTTGCCAATATCATCATCATTTGCTGTCCTGCTTTCAGTCACCTGTCTTGGGTAAACATGAAACTACAAGACATACTTCATATGAAATTATGTTGAACAGGTGGGCAATCAGGATGGCCTATGTAGCACACTACAGGGAAAGTTCCAAGCAGATGAAAACCAGTTATCTATCACTGTCTTCCTAGGTCTGGCTGTCAGGGATGATCAAAACCATTCAAGGGGAGCGGCACAAACTTCCACAAGGTCTTTTGTATATGTGGCCAGCACTTCACTGCCAATAATACAACTATTTTGATAAGTGCACTTGCCCGTCAGTTTCAAGTTTGAGATCTTCAGTCATGCTCACATGCATGCTCAGAGACACATAAACCAATTTTTATTTTTCAGTACTTCAAAATTCCCACAATTCTTGTGAGTCTCCCTGAATTATTTACTCTAGGAAATACATTTCAGATTTATCATAAATTTCTCCTAGCTGAAGAAAACAACTTAATTTTCAATATTACACTTAATCACAGAGCTGAGCATTCTTCAGCCCGCAAAGGTCAATGGTCTTAGTGTAACTCTGATATGACTGCATTGTAAGTTCATTGAAGCAGAAGGGTGTAACTTTGCTTTGCACTGTTAAGCATGATAATTACATCACTTTGCTTTCTGAAACTGCCTGTTCTGCAAAAGGCACAAAGTTTGGAGTGCTTTTGGTTTTCTCATTCTTAAGGTCTTAGGTATAATAGAAAAATGTCACTACAATACATTGATGATAATTTTAACTTAAATAGCTAAATGATACTTGTTCATTTTCCATATTAGTGTCTGCCACATGAGCTGTACAAGAATAATGGATACCAGACTACAGGAGGCGGAAGGATTTGGTGAAGAAAGTTCAGGTAAAATACCTTTTTACAGTTAAATTTAAAGGAACCTCATTATTACAGAAATTGTTAAATTACAGCTTCTTGTGGGGCTTACAAGTTGTATTCATTCTTGGGCTCCCACTCAATTTCACCAAGTAGTCACAGAAGTGAGAATACAGTATTTGATCAATTTATCAAATTTTCAATACATTTACATCTGAATAAAAACATTTTTCTGAGAAAAAAAGACCTCAGATGATGATGTACTGTTTTAGAAGATGTTTCATCCTGTGTGTAAGAGGAGGAGTGCCTACCATTCGTAGTTTTGATGAATACTTTTGTTAAAACCAGCTTTAAGAAAATTGGTTCCTGTTTAATTGAGGGCACCCTTATGAATCAATTAAGCTAACCAATTAATTGAATTGTAGCCCTGGCTTATTCTATAAATGCCTTCTTACGTTTGTTTCACCTTACGCTAAAGCAAACAAGGCATGTTCAGTTGTTTATACTAAAAGCAATTTGTTATGGTCAGAATTCAGAGTTTCAGATGTCCTGTAAGCAGATTCAGTTCTAGCAGTATCGAAAGGAATCAGATTTAGCAATCATCTGATTAATGAATGACCTTATATGTGTGACTTCAGACCAGAATACTATGTATGGGTTTAGATATGTGGGTTAACTTGACCATTCTAAAAATGGGTTGATTTCCTGTGGTTTTTAGTTCATATTTTCAAGCCTTTCTCTCCATCTGCGAGAGTGACAATTGTTTTTTAGAACAAACACTGTGATTGCCTAGGTTTCAATCTTGCTTCTTCAGTGAGTCACAGACTTGTTGAAATGGAAGTGGATTCTAGTCTCTGTTTGCATGGGGTCAGATTCCTCAGTTCTATTCTGTCCCTATGAAACCTAGATTCATAAATCAATGTTTTAATTCCAATCAATATGAGTCATGTAGTCTCTTCCTCTTGCTCAGTAACCCCATCTTCAAAGTTTTCTTTGCTATCCATCTAATCTTAATCAAAAAGTGTACCTCCGGAGTGGAAATTCTCTACCACCCTTTTCATAGTGGATTGTCATTCTGAGCTCCTGCCCACTTGCTTTGCCTCTACTGCTACCTCTAATTCACGCCCTTCAGCTTTCTCACTTTCCATGTCCTCACTCATAGGTCAAATAAGTATGTCATGATGAGGCCGAAGGATTTTGCTCAGTCAGAGAGCTCACTTTGTTGATCTTTCCACCTGTTCTGAACCTTCAGTCTTCTCACACCCCTACAGCACTACCTTTGGGATTTTGTTACCCAGAGAGAGAGGTCACTTATTTACAGAAGTTGCACTGTTTGTCAGCATTGTTGGACCTGAGCAGTTAGAATGTTTGTAAAAATTCTATGTGCAATCACAGTGGCCCAAGACTAGAGAGGACTGTAAAACATTAATCTGTATTGTTCAGGTTATGTAGTGCATAATAAAGACAGACTAGCTCACTGTTAAAGAAATATGAAGGAAAAGGATATAGTCAAAATTATTTGATAACACAGTTGTCTTATTTAATATTCAGAATTCAAGCATGTACTATATTTATTTCAAGCATGTACTAAAACATGGCCAGGGTCCAACTTATCTGAGGGACCGCCTTTCCCCACATATACCCCCAAGAGCACTTCGGTCGGGGACACAACATCGCCTGGTGATTCCAGGCCCCCGGGAGGCAAGGCTTGCCGCAACCAGGGCCAGATCCTTCTCGGTGGCGGCCACTACCTGGTGGAATGAGCTCCCGGAGGAGATCAGGGCCCTGTGGGACCTTATGCAATTCCGCAGGGCCTGCAAGACGGAGCTCTTCTGCCAGGCTTTCGCATAGGGGCTGTCACTGCCACCACCACCAATGATGTGGATAACAACGGGGCTAGGGAAGGCCCCAGGAAGATCTTCTACAACACCACATGGCACTGGTACCACCGGACTTACTTGGGACCAACCACAGAACAAGATCACCCTCAAAGAACTGACTGTCACCATCATGGGATTTATTCAGGGACCATCATGTTTTCATGGAGCACTTTACTTTTATCTGTGTTATCTAATGGTTTTATTGCTTTTATTATGTTTTACATGGGCTCTGTCCCTTGTAAGCTGCCCTGAGCCCGCTCCCGGGGAGGGCGGGGTAAAAATGTCAAAAATAAATAAATAGAAATGCACCTCCAAAAGTAATTAGAATCTTGTTCATTTGGTTAAAGAACAATTTGTATCATCAGTAGTAACAGGTATACCTGAGGCCTATAATTATTCCTGATTAAGCTTTCTTTCTTTGGCATATAGCTTAGCATCGCATTTCAAGATTACTGCTTGACTTTTGTTTAACATTTGAAGCACAACATGGTAACATAATTACAATTCAGACTATCAAGAGTTTATTTTCCACCTGAGTGAGCTATTTGTGTCTAAATTAGTCTTGTAATTTGGTAACAAGCCTACCCTTATCTTTTATTTTAACATTCATGAGTTTAGTGAAGGGAGATACTGAATTACCAGACTGTAATTTAATTTGTCCTCTGCACTTAGAACGTAACATATATTTCATATTACTATTATGCTACCACTGAAATCCTGTGCAAAGTTACTCCAGTATAAGCCCACTGGTTTTACTGAGTTTGGTCTGCAGTAACTCTGTATAGGATTGCAGTAAAAATCTTAGTTGGGCAGCAGCTGAATATATAATTAAATAGGCTTTATTTTTAAACATGACCTATGCTCTCACAATCCATTTGCACAGGTAATGGTGTTATGTTGCAACCAGTATAGAGGAAGATGTGTGAGTTCAAGAAAACACAGGTGGAAAGGACAAAAGGGGGAAATGACCCCCTTACTACACACACACACACACACACACACACACAAACCTAACTCATGAAAAGCATTGCACTAAAATAATCTCACCTCTTTGCTTAATATTTATTTACTTAGGAAAGAAAAAATCTAAGTTTAAGTCTATCAAAAAATTCTTTGGAAAAAGGAAAAGGAAAGAGACATTACCATCTTCAGGAAGTGGCAGTCTGAAACTGTATCAGTCGACAAGTGATGTCACAACCTCTGACTCTATGCACGTAGGCTATGATTCAGAAGATGAACCTGAGTAAGTCTCAAAACCATTCCTGGTTTATTTACTGGAGTGTGTGTGTGTGTGTGTGTGAGAGAGAGAGAGAGAGAGAGAGAGAGAGAGAGAGAGAGAGAGAGAGAGAGAGAGAGAGAGAGAGAGAGAGAGAGAGAGAGAGAGAGAGAGAGAGAGAGAGAGAGAGAGAGAGAGAGAGAGAATGCCAGAGGGCTCTGATCACCTTGGGTTCATGGAGCCAACCTTGTCATATGATTTGTTTTCACATAATGTGTTGGATTGGGGTGGTGTAAAGATGGTGCAAAGGGAATTTTGATCTGTCAGCTCTCAGAAACCCATGTTCTTTGTAAAGGGTAGAACTTGCTTTTCTCAATGCTACTTCGTCATCTGTGGATTAAATGCTCAGCAGTCTGTCTTGAATTCTAACCAAAAGATGGCAATTCAGTTTAATTGTTTCAACTTGGACAAGGTCAAGTAAGTGTGTCATGGTGAAGGACAGCATAGGATGCAGCAGAGAAGGCTGCAGCTAAAAGGGGGACTTGACAGAAACTGCAGTGTTACTTTACATGGAGTGAAAGTACTTTCCACTCCAGCAAGGGCACCTTGGGATCCAACCCTATATAAATGTTTGTATTCTTAAAGCTTTTGTTGGAAGAGAGTTTTTCATTTTTCTATCTGTAAACATTGGTTGCTTGCAGTACATTTAGCTATTTACCCTGCAGTTCCAGAGAAATCTGATAATAAGTGAGTCTCATGTTGTTCAGTAGGGCTTACTGCCAGGTAAGTATGTGGAGGATTGTACCAGGTCTACAGATCATGTAAAATGTCACAATACATTAGATAAAAAGAGCACAGTTATTTAAAACGTGCATGTAAAAATTAACGTTTTGTAATCAATAATTACTCGGTCCCACCCATCCTTCCTGAATAGCCAGAATTATGGTGTATCTGGAGAACCACCAGTTGTACATCTTTTTTTAAAAAATGAGGCACTCGTATGCCACAATCAGGAATTTCTGCTTCATAAGCACCAAAAATGTCTCTTCCTTTCCAACAAAGGGTTCAGCAACTGCCACCTTATATTAAAGGACTAATATGTACTGTAAGGTATCATTTGAAAGCCCTTGGGAAATGTCCATAATTAGAGCAGTTTAATTTCATGTATGATGGTCATGGAACTTGGAACTGTTATTATAACCCTCTAAGTATTTAACAACCGAGGTCGAGGCTCAGCAGAGTATTTGTGATTTGAGTCATGACAGAAAAAGAACAAGACTGTAGAAGCTAGACGGGGGATAACATCAGGGTGCCACCTGATGCAGGACTGGCCAGCTAATTCATATGTATGAATAACAGTGCCAAAGCGACACAAAAAACTGATCACACAGCAGCGCTGAGACCAGACAGAGAAAATGAAGCCTATGAGTTCTTACTTAGCATCTAATTCTGTTAAAAGCTTACATTGTGGTACCACTAGGGAGTGCCAAATCACAGCATCAACAGTTTTCCCCCCCTTTGGTTAGCATTGGGTTATAATTTTGAAAACATGTCTGTTATACCAATAGATAAAATATTTCAGATTAAATGTACTGAAGAGCTCCTGTAGTAATTCACAAAAACTCAGTATTTCTCTCTTTCTTTTAGTTTTTTGTAACTTCACTTCTAGTTTTGCAGAATTATTCTAGCAAATGCTGTAAAACAACTGCATTTAGAGTTACCACCAAAAAAGGTCACCTACAGCAAAATTTAAAGGAGGCCAAAACTCTTTTGATAAGAGGTTCGATAATACTAGCAAAATATATTAAGGAGCAACTTTTAGGGGAGGTCTGTAGGGAGAAGGGAGATATATCCATTCTTTGAACTTCTTCTGTTCTCTGTTCATAAGATCCAACCTATTGAACTTGCACATAATTCCCCCCCCCCACAACATCTTTTTGGAAGAGAAAAAAATCTTATTTTAACCCATTATAGACATTTTTGCTACTGTAATTTCATTGTTCCCATTAAAATTTGTGCTTCCCTTTGATTCATTATACCCTGTTTCCCCAAAAATAAGCCCTAGCAGGATTTTTATGCATTTGTGGTATAAGCCCTAGTGTCTCTTCTTGAGAAAAAATAAATATAAGACAGTGTCTTATTTTCGGGAAAACACGGTAGTAAACTATTGTACGCCATTAGCAAAGGCAATAAGGTTTATTACATAGATTAAATTATCATGGATAGACCAAGGCAGGATTGAAGTTCCGTTGTTCATAGTTCTGCCCTATGGACTTCATTTTAGGAACAGGATATTTATCACATTAGTGCAGGGCCTGAAAAACCCAGGAGCCAGATTACCATGGTGCCTAGTATTTTCAGCAACGATTATATTGTAGTGTCTTTCAGCAATTCTCAGTGGATGTTTGAAGAGTTGGATCCAACCAGTTTTTCCACTGTTGAAAAAGGAAGGAGAGCATCCCCTTTGACCATCAAAAAAGGCTATGTTTGGGTTTACGTGACAAAAGTCACATGGAACAGAGGCTTAGGAAATTGGCTGGAGACGGAGCAAAAAAGCTGGCTGGATCAAACCCAAAGCTTATTTGTCATTTCACATCAGAATGCTTTGTTGTATGACATAAATGTAAATGTGCATGAAGTTGTTGTCATTGATTGTTTATATGTTAACTTTACACGATTCAGTGAATTCATGTCTTAAAGTTGCCTTCTATACTGACTCCAGTATTTCAATTAAATTTCAATAACTGAAAGCAATAATAGAATTATGAAAAATTGGGGAGAGGTTGAGCTAGATTAGAAGTTAGCTTTTTGTTTCATTGATGGCAATGAAGGCTACCCCTGTATTTATTTTTATACCACAATACTACTGTCATAGCTTTAATAAAGTTATGAGAAAGTGTGAAGACCTTAGAATTAGGCTTTGGGGTAACAGAAAATAAGGTAATGAATACAAAACTCTGAAAGATGAAAAACTGAGTCTGGCTGCCAAATTTTTGGGCTGGATCTTGCAGCCAAAGAAAATTTGTCAAACCTGCACTTAAAGCTTTCACATAAGACATGTAAAGGAGGTAACATGAGGAGAGCCAAGAAGAAGTAGGAAGCAAAATTAGAGTCCCCAAGAGCAGACTTGGCTGTGGGGAGGAATACTGTAGATTGGTGTGGGAAGAAGAAGTGATGGGGTGCCTTTAAGGAAAGACAAAGTTCTGTGGCTTTTAGTCTCAGCTAGAAGAAGACTTTTGTGTACGGTAGACCTGGGAACTTTTTGTCCCCATCAAGATGCTATACAAAGTGACTTCAGATCAGGTGTATATCCCAGAATCCTTTACAATGCTGCAAAGTATGCTGGGTTGCAAGTCTTCAATTGCCCAAGCTTCATGGACAGCTGCTGTGACTAAGGCCTGACTTTCTCTCCAGCACTTTCTATGGTGACATAAAAGATCCTGTGTTATATCCCTTGGATTGTTCACTGAGTTTTCACCCCTCATCCATTTAGTATTGGCAAGTGATTGTTCTCCCTAAAATATGGTGTCCCAGATGACTGTGTGAGATGGCCATGAAGTTGGTTTGTCCTTCAGTTCTCTCATTTTTTCTCCTCTTTTCAAGTTAAATTTTAAAATTGTGGGAAAAAATCTAAATTTTCAGTGAGAAGGTTAAAAATGAAGCACATGCAATTTTATCAGCTTTCTCTGTTCATCTAGGATATGCAACAGTGTTATGGGAAGCAGAGCACTGTCCCACGACAGCATTTTCATTGCCGAGGCTGCACAAGAGCCTGCAAGGCCAGTACGAGTATTTTCTCAGGAAAATGTTTCCGGTCGGATTAGGGCTTTGCAGGTAATCTAAAAATAATACAATGCATTTTTACTGCTGACTTGAACAAAGTAGTTCCTTTTTCCTGTCTGAGAGTAACATGTGGCATTAACGTACAGCACCTTAAACAGTTATCAGAATAATTTCTCAATAAGGTTTCTTTTAAGTTAATGCTATGAATTATTTGGTCACCCAAAATAACTAAAATACCAAAGATCCTTCTGTTAATTTAAACAAAATCTTACTGAGTACCCCATTGTATGTATAGTGTGAGAGTTCTTCCTAAATTAATAGAAAGAAGTAAGAGTCCAGTAGCACCTTCGACTAAAGGTCAGTCTTGAAGGTGCTACAGGACTCTTACTCTTTTCTGCTGTTACAGACAGACTAATATGGCTACCCATCTTGATTTTCCTAAATTAGTGAGTCATTAATGTTATTGGAATGAACACTGTGCACAGAAACAGTAGCCAGGGATGATGCTGTATGGTATGAAGTATTCTAGTTGGATGATGTGCTTTTCAGGTGCATATTTGATAAGTTGCTATTTACTCCCCCCTGCCTGAAATGGAAACTTAAAAACAGTGTTGGAAAATGTAAATTGAAAGTGGTATGCAGCTTTATAATAGCATAAGAAAAATGATCAGATCTGGTCTAATGGTTTCCAAAATCAGAAGAAATTCAATGGATTAGTTATTCTTCCAAGGTTAATAAACAGTATATTTAGATCAGACCCTGATTAGTTAATTTAATAATGGTCATCCCTAGTTATTGCCATATCTGAGGGGGAAATGGGGCTACTGCAATTAAGGGAAGTGCTGAAGGACAGTATTTGCTGATACATATTGCATTTTTCTGGGTATGCATGTACCTATAACTACTCAAGGGAAGAAACAAATTCTGTATGATCCAGTCATTTGATGATAGCAGAAGTGCATAAAAATGTGCTTGAAACATTTTGTTGCAGTTGAAACTGCAACAGAATTGGAAATTTGGTCGTTCTTCTCCATTTGGAACTCCTTCAAAGCGAATGGATGATGCTGGAATGAGTTCAGAGGATGATGGGCTACCCAGAAGCCCACCGGAAATGTCTTTGCTACAGGAAATTATAAATTCCAAAACAGCACAGGTAGGATCAATTGTGCAGTATTAAGAACTTAAGTATGCCAATCAAGAGTGTTATTGTGAAAGCAGAGCAGAAGGCGTGGTAATGTATTCTATTGTGTTTAGTAGTTTAAATTAAGTTTTCCACATTATAGAAACAGCCACTCAAATAAGAGTCAGAGACGAGTGTCATAAAGATGGATAACCAAGAATTTGTGCCCACACTTGTTCATGTGCAAGGGTTTGTGGAGGGCAATTTCTGACCACTCCTCCTACCCACTGTGCCATATCTCATTCTGTTCCTGGCAGTCCTCTGACTTTCAGAAGTTGTTATGTGGGAAGGGGCTGCAGCAGGAAGGGGGAGGTAGAGAAAACATGTTCTGTGATCAAAGATCTACTTCTGGTCTGCTGGCTATGAGTCAGTAGGTAGGACCTTGCTCTGTTAAGGGCAGGCTATTTAGAAAAATGTACAAAGGTAAAGAATCCTAGAACATATTTTTATAGAATATCTTTGATATAGGTTTATTGGTTATAGCAGATTATTCTGGTATATAGCTAGGTCTTTATGCATGTATGTCTATATTTATTTATTTGGACTGGGGTACTGTATCAGTGCCAGAAAAGTAGCAGAGCAGTTGCAAGAATGAAGTTATGACTGATCTCAACCTCTTGGTACATTTCTGCAGCATAAGAAACATACAATAATGTAACATTATTTTAAATCAGTATTCTTATGTGGAACCTTCCCCCCCCCCAATCTTGACATTTTCAGGATCCCTACTATTTCTTAGAACTTTGTAAATATTTTCCACTTGTACCTTACATTTTCTGTATCCTGGTGTACTTGGAATAGCATGTAACTTCTGTGTGTAACTCATCTCATTTTGTCATCTATCACTGAATCTTTTCCTCATTCAACCCCACAGTTTTCTGACTCTCACAAGCATCTTAGCTCTTTGAGTTTAGCTGGAACAGGCAGTGAAGAAGAAGAACAGGTAACTTTAATCATATATTATATGTGCATTAAGGGGCAGAAAAATAATGCATGATGGCAACAATCCCAGTCAACTGTGAGACTCCTGTATCTTCATAAAGCCCTACACAAGGAGGGGAATGAACTGCTCTCTGCTGTGAGAAATTAACAAAAGGTTCCCTGCCTAGGAGCTTAAACAACTGCATTATAAATACTAGAAGAGTTCATTTATTTACCATAGTTTGCCCTGTTTTGAGATTTCAGATGCCATCAGGCAGAGGCAAAATGGAGACTGACTTAATTAGATTACTTTTCAGTAGGGGAAGTCACTGTTGTAACACAGGGGAGTCTTGGGTTCCTGCACATCGTCTCCCAATTTTTGTTGCTGAGAACTTGCGTATAACCTAACAGTAATCACATAATCCTTGAGAGATATGGATTGACCACAGTTTTCCATGCTGTGTGACCACAACAGATTAAATTACTGTAATACACACTCTATGAGGCTATCTTTTGAAGGCTGTTCAGAAGCTTCAGTTAGTACAAAATGTGAGTCTACGTAACTCCCTAGTTATGACAGAGCTAGACCCCTCCTTATTTACTTGCAGGCCATATTCAGAATGTGAATGTCTGCCTTTTAAAGCCCTAAATAATATGGGACCAGTCCCCCGTCCCCCCTGCTTCCTTTGCCTGTTACCTTTTACTGTTTCATGTATTAGATGTGTCACTGTAGCTGTTTCACTGAATTTTACTCATCTTTTTATTATTATAGGTAACTTAGTCATTTTTTGTGAGTCTGCTTTTTGTTGTTTACAACAATTGAGGGGCGAGAGGTTCTTTTCTGTTTCTTTTTTTCTCTCTTGTTGAAGGTTCTATTCATTTATTCTTGGAAGCCCCCTTGAGAGCCATTTAACCCAAGAGTTTTGCTGGATATAAATTTTTGAAATAAACAGTCCCACTATGTTGGGGAACGGCAGTCCCCCTTAATTCCTCTCTAACTGCCTGACCGCCATTCCCCTCTAGATGATCTACCCCCCCCCCAGAGTTCTCTGATGATGATGTCAATCGGAATGGAGAGACCTGGAGCTCCAGATGGAGTCAGCCTCTCAGTCAGCCCAGCAGGAGCTAAAATATTTTTTTGAAATGATGTCTCCCTACCCCATTTTTTGGTAGAGTGAATAGATACCTTTCTTTAATCAGCAGCACATACACCCAGAAGACTAAAGAGTACTTTTAGTAGCCCCTGAAAGATCACATTTAGATGTTCTCTGCTGGGGGGGGGGGACTAACGACAGTCAGCAGGTGGGAGAGGGAGAGTGCAGCAGTATAAAGAGCATTGGAGATAATGGAACTACTTAGCTCTTTTACTATTTCCTAAGTGAACATTTATTTTACCAAGTCTGCTTTCAGACCTGGGACAGGGTTACAGAATGATAATGTCTGCTGTATTTGGCATCACTTTCTCCTGGAATGCGCTGGTCCAGGGAGCAGAGCAAAAGCCATTAAACTCCTGTACTTGGACCTGAGAACCTGCTTTGGCCATGGATAAGCCAACAGACCATTTTCCTCCATTTCCAGGTGTGGGCAGTTAGACAGGGTAGCCCTGTTGGTCTACAGTAGAACAGTTAGATTTGAGTCCAGTAGCTCTAACAAGATTTTCAGGGTATAAGCTTTTGAGAGTCAAAGCTCCCTTTGTCAGTGGGGGGTAGTTAGTCATGAGCTTCAGTGAGGTACGACTGTTGGATGACTGCAGCATTAAGTCATGACTTACATGTATTAAACAATGTCACTGAACAAAATCCATCCATAGACAGGATTCTGTGTTCCTTCACATTGCCTTAGACGTACTATGGTGCTTTTCCATGAAGACGGTTTACACATTCAGTCAAGAGTCTGTGTGATGTCACGCTGAATGTTGCACTTACATGTGAACTAACCCTGTAGAACAGAGCTGTTCTGTTGAGAGTTAAGTCCTCCACAAATAAAGCAGGTGTAGCTAATTAGCCCCTGGATGCCTGGCCTTATGGTTCATCTTGACTACTACCTCTACATATCCTCGTACCGTGCGAGCTGCAAGAGAGAATTATATGTGGCATTGTCTAATGGTGTTTCTTTGTTTAGCATTCTTGTAGAACTTGTGAATTTCAGTTTTTATTGTGCAAGTCTTTAGGTCCCTTGTGGAAGAAAAGAAGGTTAGGAATATTTTAAATAAATACTATATGGCAAGAATACAGATACATAAAATTCTATTGGGATTGTGTACAGATCTCTTCAAAGAAACATTTTAAAAGATTTATTCTTCAAATTCATAGCATATAAAATTCAAACACAAGCATTCCTTTTTAAAATTTGTGAGCAAGCCAGAATATTAAACCTCTGTTGTAGAAAGGTACAAAATTTGGAAGTACTCAAAATGTATGTTTGTCACTGTAAGGTGCTGAAATTTTAGACTGCTTGTAGACAATGAGCTGAAGGAGAAAGTTTGGCTAAGCTATTCCAGTTTTACATCCTAATGAGAGTTACACCCTACTGAGCACATTTACGTGAAAGGAATTAAAAGAGTGTAACAGGATGTCATTGTTAGACTCTTAGCTATAAATGAGAATGGGATACACTTCAGATCAGAAATTGTTAATACACTTGACATCACTCTGATTGCAAGGACCTTGACTCCTTGGAGGAAGGGTGGGATAAAAATAAAATAAATAAATAAATAAATAAGTAGTGCAATGGTCCAAGGAGCACACAGGTGAAGAAATGTGAAGCTAAGGTAGGGAGGGTATCATTTGTTGTATTTTGCAAACAAGAGAAACTTTGAAAGGGGTTAATAATAATTATATATATAGACAGGCATACATACCGTGGTGCCTCATCTCTAATGTTTATGTTCCTGAAAAGAAACTTGGCTTTGTAAAAAGTATTTTGTCTTTGTAGGATAGAATAGTAAAATCAAATAGGGATGCAGTGCAATGATCCCTCTAATTTTTTTCCCTACTGAACAGAGCAATTCACATCCTGAGCAGAATATAACTGCTGTAATCTTAAAATGGGCAATAGGCAGTGCAAGACCCTGCACGGCTCCAGATTGCTGCTGAGCAGGGCTTCCTGTGTTAATGAGCAACTGCTCACATGCACAGCTTAGAGGGAACACTGCATTGCATGGGAATGAGAAGAGCTATCTCTTCAGTATCACATGTCTAATAGTAAATTAGCTTGCCTTTGTGTGGACAACAAAAACTGAAAAGGCCATTCACAGACAAGCCAGAGAAGCTTCTCAGGTGCACAGAAAAATATGACTTTGTAAAGTAACTAGAAGACAGGGAAGCCCTTAGCAATGGATCAGTAATGGCAAAATATACTCCAGGAGAGATCAAGTGTTGACGTATCTGAGTGTCTGTTAAAGGAAGGGGGGAGGAATGAGCATGCTCAAGCCCCTGAGAGGTTTAAGGGGGACATTTTGAGATGTGAGATGGAATGTCCAGGTCTCCCAGTCCCCATAATTTCTTATTAAACTCTAAATGTACTTGTTGAATCAAAATGTACTTCACCATTTATGCATGAAATGTGTATGGAGGGGGTACTTTTTTTTAGTTTATTTAAATTAATATCCTGTGATACGTCTCAGCAGTGTTGGCAACTTTGTGTTTTCCTGCCCTAACATGATGCTGAATTCTCCTTGGCACTCTTGTAATTCACTTTTTTGAATGTCAATCTCTGTATCATAAGAAAATGAGAATTTCAAAAGGTTTATTTGCAAGTATCTATTAGACCACCTATGCAAAGAATAGGAAGCCACTTCATGTGTTGGTTTCCTTATCTGAGTACATGGGGGCCAGAGGAGCCCCCATGCAAGTACACCTGCATATAAGTTTTAAAGTAGATAGCTTTCTCCAAGAGAGGGAGATTAATGTCTGCATGAGGAAAAACTATATGTGTGAGAGAAACAGCTGTACTGCTCGTTCTGTTGCTGATCAGTTTAAAAATTCTCTTGAACCTTCCGTTAAAAACTGTGACTCTTTTATGTGACACTTTTTCCCCCTGTGGGGTTTCTTGTTTAGGTCACATCAGGTCCTTGGAGAACATGTTCTGCAGAAAGCCAGTTATTCCCCAGGAAGTCGAGTGTTAAAATTATAGCTGTGCCAGTCTCTGATGACAGCCTCTCACCTCCTGCAGATTTTGATACTCCTCCTGAGTTCACCACTGTCTTGGATAATTCAGCTGCTAAGCACAAGCTTTTAGTAAAGCCACGGAACCAGAGATCCAGTAGAATGAGAAGACCACCTTCGGTAATGAAACAAAAAAGACCAACTAGACAAAAACGCCCATTCTATACTCTTATTTATTAATTCTGATATGTTATTGCTTATTTATCATTTAATGAGATCTACATGCGTGTTTTTTCCCAGAGAGCAAAATACGCCTGCAAAGTAGAACATTTCCATGCTAATAAAGTGGGAAGGAGAGCCAGTGAAGCTGAAGTTGTGTCTGAATTTGCTACTTCCAGTTTGTACCTAATGATAGCCTGCAACTTGTTCTGTAAATCTAAGTGCTAGAAAGCTTGAGAAGAGTAGAAAGTAAGAAAATACAGCTGGAGCTAGAGAATTTGTGCAATGGCTATTTTCAGTACAATCTTGAGCAGTTACATTCTTCTAAGTCCACTGACTTCAATGGACTTAAGGATTCCCTTGCTCGAAAGCCAGTCAAATCCAACTCTAGGGTTGCAGTGCTCATCTCAGTTTCCAAGCCAAAGAGCCAGCGCTGTCCAAAGACATTTCCGTGGTCATGTGTCCAGCATGACTAAACGCCAAGACGCACGGAACACTGTTACCTTCCCATCAAAGCGGTACCTATTTATCTACTTGCAATTTCTTGTTTTCGAACTGCTAGGTTGGCAGGAGCTGGAACCTGAGACAGGAGCTCACTCCGTCATGCAGCACTCGGGTCTCGGACTGCTGAACTACCGACCTTCCAGCCTGCAGTTCAGTGTCTTAACCACTTGAGCCACCGCAGCTTAGAAAAGTGTAAAATTGCTTGGGATTGCACTGTTAGCTTAGTTTTTTTTGAGAACCTGCTATTTTCTTTGATCTTAGGACAGGTAACAATAATTCTAAATAAGCATCAAAACAAGCAAATGTAAAACATACCAAAATACGAAACATAAGAAACGTCATTTCACAATCAGCTGCTTTGGGCAACAAAAGCCAGGCAAAATTTATGAAAGGTGCTCAGGATTCACCCATATTGTGGGTTATGAGTTTGGACTAACCCAGGGGTTACTTTTTCTTGTCCTTGTTCCATTGGTGTTCCAGAATAAACTCATTTTATAGTTAAAACAAACTGGAATAATTCATAGTTAAAATAACAGAGTGGTTTGGATGATAGAAGGAGGCCCTAGGGCCTAGGCTATGTGTGGTATTTAGTTCTTCTTCCTAACCCTCCAGGTATTTTGACTGCTGCTGTTCTCAGGGCTTTGGCAAGTCCAGGAGAAAGAGCAGATGGATGTTGATTTTTAGAGAGAGAAGCCTTCCTTGTGTGGTTGACAATAAAAATGTGGCCCAGGTTCTACTTGATGTTTGCAGAGATAAGTGGAAAGAAGGATGACATTCAGTCCTTCTTCCCAATCCTCTAGATATTCTGACTGCTGCTGTTTCCTTCTGCTGTTTACGTTTATTCAGTCACTCTGAGAGTGAAGGCAGACGTACATTTCAAGTGTGGAGGAAGTGTTTTGAACACACAGTGTATGCCCTGAAAACAAATACTTCCAAATGTAGCATATGAGTGTTCAGATCTCATCACCCATGATTTAAACTGCAGTCTCTGTTGTCACCTTCAGACTAGTTGAAGTCATCCATTATTATTGCAGTCTTCCTTTCTGATCTGTATCCCAAAATGACCACCAGAATTGTAAGGCTCCTTCTGTGTTTGCTGTGAGGAAGTGGCTGCAGTATGAATCTTCCTGCTCTGTACTATTGTGAGAAGTCCCAGACCATATGGGAAGCGCCAACAGTATGGCTCCTCTCTATGCTTGCATTGACTTAGTTTCTGGGAAGGGCTGACTGTGATGTGGCTTTGTGCTTCTGAGAAACTGACTTTAACAGTGCAAGAAAGATTCTGTGGATAAAGATCTTAAATAAAGATTTATAGGAATCTTTTTTTGCAACTGTAACACAGTTGTTCCCTCTTGTGAGCAAAAAGTTTACTTTGGGAGCTACTGGCATTAAAGTTGTGAGCAAGTGATTTGGCTGCTGCATAAATTAGTTTGATCCAGAGCCATGCTTCCTGAGCTAAGACAAAAATGTGTGTGAGAGAGGCTAAAAAACTGTGAGCTAGCTCACACTAACTCAGCTTAGAGGGAACACTGTGCAAGGCTATGTCCTGCGGCGGTTGTTCTTTCAGTAGATTTTTACATTAAAAAATAGTTTATTTCCATTATTCTACTAGGTTTCTGATATAGCCGCTAAGTCCATATTGTTTTCAAATGCTAGGTGTCCTACATGCTTTGATGTTCTTGCATTTGTATTTCAGTACCTATATATCTTTCCACCTTTTTAATGTCTTCTAAAAATGTATTTCCTTAAGATACATGATTAGATTTTATTACCTGTTTTGGCTCGCAAAAAAAAGTAACTGCCTACAAATTAAGACTTTGGTCAGAGACCAAAGCTACCATGTTCACTGGCTAGATAGATGAGCACAAAAGAGAGGGCATTTTCTGTACTGTTTCCTAAACTTTAAAACTGTCTCTGTACAGCAAGTCAAATAACACTACAAGCTTATATGGGCCAGGTGAAAACGTTTTCTCCCAGGTATTTTAGATACCATTGTCCTGTTGAATTTTATTTGTTTGTTTAAAACATTTATTAGCTGCCTTTCTTTCTTCTGGAGCTCAAGTTGGCTTACAGTGTAAATAAAATCTATAAATCAGGGTACATAAAAAATACATAGAACCAAAATTTCAAATCACAGCTTAGGACTGCTTTAATGAAATGCAGTGCTAAGTAAAACAATCTTCAGCTGCATCTTAAAGATCAAAAGTGAGGGGGCCAGGCGCACCTCCCTGGAGGGATTGTTCCATAATTGTGGCCATAGGTTAGGGATAATGTGTAACTGTAGCCGCTCAGAGACCCCTTCGGGGATTAGAGCGGGGTAGTAAGTTGAAACAATAAATAAATAAATAAATTGTAGTAGCTGCTTCATTGGATTGTTTTTCTTTTCTCTCATTCTTCTTCTGGTGCTGCTTTAAATTGCTTTTGCTACTGTTTTTATTGGTTTGTCTTTTTATGGGATATAAATAAAATAAATAGCTGCCACAAAAAATGGACCTCTATAGAATGCAAATATTTGACTTTGTTTGGATGTTCAGTCTGTTTGTAGAATAGATTGCAATGATATAGGCAGATAAATAAAAGCATTACAGGAGGATACTTTATAAACAGATTGTGGTAAAATAATCCAGTGTAGTTCGCCATTCCTAGAGTCATATTTATGCAAAGTTTTCTGAGACTGTATCATAAATACCTCACATATAAATTCATGATTTATGAGTTTTCAGAAAGCATTGCTACCACTTGAAAGAGAAAAAAGATGTCAAACATAAAACATTTCAAGTTGTTACGTCTTCTGAGATAATAGACTGAAATGGCTGATTCATCCACTCCCCCTCCCCTTTAGGTCAGGAAACAAATGAAAGAGACATTATGAAGAGTAAGAAATATGAAATCCTGATTCATAAATTTCTCCTCTGTTATGTTCGTCTGGCTCACCATCTTTGTTCAATTGACGTAGAATGAGGTTTTTAGGTAATCATGTTCCTGTTTTCCTAATGCATCATAATTTCTAAGTAGTAAAAAATTGGTGTATTACACATTTTGAAGACTACCAGGGCAGAGAATGATTTCCTTTTGTGGGGAAGGATCAACATCTGGTGATTGCATCACCTGAGCTGAGAGCAAATTAAAGTAAATAATGCAAAGTATTTTTATATTATTATTTGCTTCTTGCAGAAGAGCCTGTCAGAGTCTCAGAATGACTTGAGCTCTACCCCTGAGGAAGATGAATGTGAAAGGAAAGAGGCACCGGCTGAACTGACCTATGAAGGTGTCAGTTCCAACTGTCAGGCCCTGACAGAAAGCACAGCTTCATCAAATAATGCAGTGCACTCCCAGCAACTTGAAATGTCAAAAGGCCTACAGCCTAGCTTGAGTCACCAAGATGAAAAGTCTTCCGTGTTGCACTCCACTTCTCCATTGGACTTGCCTCCCTTTGAAAAGAATTCTGAGGGCTGCCAAAAAGTACAAGGATTATCACACAAAGTACCATCATTGCCCTCTTCTGAACAGAAAGAAAATATAACCAACCTCCATCTTACTCCAGATCTAGGAACACAAAGGGACAAAGAATGTTATGAAAGCCAAAAGAAATGTCCTAGGAATTTAAGTAGTAGTTTAAACCAGGGAAATAAACACATTTCTGATGTGCCTTCCAAGAACAGCTTGCTGTCTGATAAGAGTATCTCAACCAAAAATGATGTTCTCCCTACATTAGATGGAACAAGAAAAGATATACAGAAGGATGCTCCAGCACTTGTGGAAGACCTTTCTAGTAAGGCATCTTCTTTATTGGCTAACTCTATTACTCTTTTACCAAAAAGTCATTTCCAGCTTACAGATGTAACCAGTCCTGAGAACAGTAGTTATTCTCCATCTCCATGTACAGCTGCTACATCACAGAAAGACACACCTTCCTGGACTCTGGACAAAATGAAACTTACAGAAGGGCTCCCTGCATCTGACAAGGAAAACAGCCCTCCAGTAGCACCTGGTGTATTGAATTGGGGTGGGAAAACTGAGAAAGAAGCTAGTGAGCTTGGTGCTTTGAAAAAATTTTCTGTGTCATCATCTCGCGGGAGGCTAAGGACTGGCAGCTTGAGCATGAAAGAAAATTCAGAATGTGAAAATCCAGTAAACACACAAGTATTGCAGATTAAAATAAAGAGCTCGTCAAGAAGTGAGAAGCTGAAGGAGGCAAGCTCTTCTCAAGAGAAAAAAAGCAGCTCTGGCAAACAAACACTTCCTCCACAGTCTGAATTGGAGAGTACAGGTAAGGGATTAGGCATGATGGAGCCTGAGCCGCTGCCCCAGGCCATAAATCCAGCATCAGTGTCAAGTCATTCTGGTAGTGGCCTGCCACAGCAGTCAAGTGCCAGCCAGTCAGGCTGGGAAGATAAAAATCCATTTCAAGTCAAACTGCGATCGACTTCGTTATCACTGAGATACAGAGTCAGTTCCTCACGGGAATCAAAGGAGATGAAAAGACACAGCGCAGAGTTTAACTTAGAAAAAGAAGGGCTGCCTTCCCCTTTGCTGAAAAGTGAAAAGGCAGAAGTGAGAAAAATAACTGACGTAGATATCAGTGACAATTTAAATGAAACCTGTAAAACTAAAACAAAGTCCCCTGAGCAGTCCAGCACAAAACCTCCATTGCCAAGGAAACCTGTTTTACAACAAGTTGTTATTACTGGCACGAACACAAGCTTGGAAAAGCAGGAAAAGGTGATCAAATGCCCTGAATCAAAAAATGAAGAGGAGAAAGATTTGGAGAAGAAATCTGATCCCTCTGAAGTGCCTGGTAAGACTTTTTACATTTTTATACATTTAAATGACTTTTAAAGCATAACACGTCGTCCCCCCTTCCCCAGCTACTCTGCTAGGAAGTCTGTGAACGGGTGTGCATGCAGAAGCATTTAGGTGGAATTCTGGGACTGTTTAAGTCACAAAGTCTGTGAATCAAAGGAACTGAATTTACATTTTAGTTTTAGGTCAAGAAATCACACAACTCTCAATATGCAGGGGAAGTCTGAAATAATGAAAATGAGTTAATATGAAGTACTACTTAGTGATGCTAAAATACCAGTAGATAAGTTTTATTCACAGTCATTGACCAACACATAAACCGATGACATTTTGTAACATGGATAAAAGATAGCTACAATGTTTTTATTATGCTTATTGTTTTTATTACGCTTAAAAATCTGACCATTCCATAGCCTATTTGATCAGCGGTTACATTCCATCAGCCCCCTCTACACAGTACTAAAGCCAGGGCAGAGCCCCAGAGGCTCCCCTACAGCACTAGTTAGTCCCAAATAAGAATTGTTTAAAAAACAGGTATATTAATTATGAAATGACATAATGTGGAGAATGAAGTAATCTGCTTTTTGTCCCCATTGAGGAGAAAGGTGGGATATAAATGAAGTTAATTAATAACCTACCTGAAATGTAGAACAAATTTAGAGTCCAGTGGCACCTTTAAGACCCACAAAAATTTATTCAAGGTAATGAGCTTTCATGTGCAGTGTGGCAGTCTCACTTTGAGAGGCAGGCTGGCTTTGGCACTGCCCCTAAAGAATCCAGGTGGATCTGATGTGTACTAGGGTAGCAGAAGACACTTGATGGGAAAAAACAGCAATCTGAATTTACCACAGTCTTCAGGGCTTTTTTGTTTTATACAGATATTGCTCGGTCCTTTGCAGCACAGGATTACTTGTAGATTCATTGTATCTGTTGCAGCTCCAGTTATTGATGGTCTCAAAAGGATGTCAGATATTTTGAATTGCTTCAGGGAAGTTGGTGGCTTTTTGGCTGAAGCTTGTTCTCAAGGATATCAGTGTTGCTTTCTCCTTCTTAAAGCCCCCTCCCCCATCTAATGATTCTGACAGGAAGCCACTATGTTTATTAAAGCTTTTCTCATATCTTGTCTGACTATCAGGGAGAATCAGGTTGAAAAGTATGCTGGCCTAAATAAAAATGCTCCAGAAATGAGCAGGCAACAGTGCATTTCCTCAACAATACAGGGAACATAGGATTATATTCAGAAATCAAGTCAATTCCATTAAAAACAGTCTTTAGAGTTCCCAGGATAGCTAATTTAAAAGGCTGTTAATATTGGCTTTGCACTGTTTTAACATTCTACCGTATGTAGATCAAGACACAAAATAGGTACTAGATTATTTTCTTTTGCTAGAGGAGTATGCAGGGGGGTTTGCATTACATTTGGACCAGCTTTGCTAGTCATAACTCGTTGCTGTAGAGATGCTTGGGATTAGGGCTTGGTTTCAAGACAAGGTTTGAAAATCAGCAGACATTTAAGACAGTAAAACCTTAGATATATACATCTCATCAAATCATGTCTCCCAGGAAGGATAGTCTCATGTGCCAGCTGTGGTGCTGAAGCAGCCTTCTCCTTGTGGTGCTCTCTCTTAGGATTGCCCATCTGGCACCAGTCAGGTTATGGGCCCGTTCTGTGTTAGGTCCAGTCCTTGGGAATGATTTATCAGAGTGGGTATCAAGGGTGTCTTCACTTTTTGCATTCAGGAAAGTGTGTACAATGGCTTTATTTCAGACAGTAGAGGTGGAGGGTAAACTCTTTTGGCAAATCTGGCTGTATTTTCATCTTGTTGATAGGTCTTTTATGTTATTTATTATGTTTGCAACTTGATGTTGTTTTGTTAGCCATCTTGAGTGTAAATAAATAAATAACAGTTAATATGGACATGCCCAGGGGCCATTTCGTAGAAAAAGAGCTGCAGGAACTCATTAGCATATCTAATAGGCTATTAGCATAATAGCTCATTAGCATATGCCACACCCCCTGACATCACCGGAAGTTATGTCAGAAGGGGAAGCAAAAAGGGGGGGAGGCAGCTTCAAAAGCCTCCCCTTCCCCAGCTGGCCTGCCAAGGCAGGCCAGCTGGGGAAGGGAAGGGGAGGCTTTTGAAGATGCCTCCCCCCTTTTTTTGCTTCCCCAGCCGGCCTCCTTCTGCCCCCCCTCCTCTCCTGGATGAAATCACTTTTTTGTAGTTATTTGACTAGACAGACAAGACAGCAATGGAGATGAACAACAAATGTTAAATAGAAAGTAAACCATTTAACAAGGTAAGGATCTTGTGTAGAAATGTTTCAGTATATAAAGTGAATTGCTTCTCAGCTTTAACCCCTTAGGTTACAAGCTTTCTCCAGTGAGAGTAACCACTTTTTAGCTGAGCCTCAGTTCAGGTAATTAAACCCCTTTCTCCAGACAGGTTACCTTAGCTGACTAGGTTTCACTCGACTTTAATTCCACAACTTGACAGGATTCTTCCCAGGTTCACAGTTGCTGTTGGGCCTTTAACAGGATGCTTGTCTCACTAAAACTTCTAACGTAAGCTCACCCCAAACCCAAAAGCCAAATAAAAACCTGGCTAAACTGACACTGTAATTCAGAGCCACCAAAATCCCATGTCTGAGGGGGGAAAGCTTTCCCCTCCTCTCTTAAACTGAGACTGGTTTGTCCTCTCCCATCCAGTTGAGTTCTATTGGCTCACAGTCACTCAGATCTGCATGTAACCAGAATCATAAGAATTGGTTCAGAGCCTTGGAGGAGAGGTGAGACTTTTGGTAATGATTGCTGCAGATATTTCTACAAAGCTTAGAAAATCCCCCCAAAATCTGAAATCTAAACAACAAACACACAAAACATGAAATCATTACACCCCCCCAAAATCTGAAATCTAAAAAATAAAAATTGGGGAATTAACCCTCCACATAACAGAAGCAGTGCCTGTAGCTTTAAGAAACAAATGTTCTCAGGGGCCGTTGCTAGGCAGTCACAATACTGCCAACCTTCAAGCCTTGGAGAGCCAGTTAAGAGTGGGCGACTCTAATCTGGAGAACAGGGTTTGCTTCCCCACTCCTCCACATGCAGCCACCTTGATGACCTTGGGTCAGTCATAAGTTCTTTCAGAGCTGTTCTCAGCCCCACCCACCTCATAGGCTGTCTGTCATGGGGAGAGGAAGGGAAGTGATTGTAAGCGGCTCTGAGACACCAAGTGAAGGGCGGGGTATAAATCCAACTCTTCTTCTGTCAGTGAAAGTCGGGGGGCAGAGCCCTCTGCAGGGATATTTTGGCTTTTGAGGGGGAACTCATCCAGGCCAGGCCTGGCTGCTACCGCTGAGTAACTTGTTACCACCCAACCTGCATGATTCACCCAAACCTAACTATTTGTTACTGTTCAGCAGCAGCCACCCCACAAAAGCCAGTGTGGTATAATGATTAGAGTTTCAGGCTAGGATCTGGGAGACCCTTGTTTGAATCCCCACTCTGCTATGGAAACTAACTGGGTGACCTGGAGCTAGTCACACATTCAGCATAACCTATCCCACAGGCTGGTTGTGAGGATAAATGGAGGAGAGGAGAATGATGTAAACTGCTTTGAGTCCCTATTGTGGTGAGAGGAAGGGTATAGATGAAGCAAATAATAAATATAGCTGAAGAGGAGGGGAAGATAAAAGGTAGGTAGGTGGGAAAGAGAAGGAAGCATGGGAAAGTAAGAATACGGGGGCTGCTAGGAGGTTGAAAAGAGGAAATAGTGTGGGGAGTGGGAAACTGAGGGTGCCTCCCTCAAGCCCTTGTGGGTTCTCTACTGTGCAACTGGGCCCCGCCTGACAGCCAGCACACCCAACTGGGCCTGGCCAGCCTAACAGCTGGAACCATGCAAGTTTTCTCGGGGAGAAGCTGCTAGGAGGGAGGAAGGAGGGACAAACTGAAGATGGAGTGGGCAAATAAAAGCAAGCTGACTGGTGGGTGGAAAGGTCAGAAGGAAGCAGGAAAAGGGGAGAGTTTATGGGGGTGTTCAGGAAAAGGAAAGAGGAAATAGAGAGAGGGAAATGAAATGGCCCCTACAAGTCCTTATTTATTTTACTTAAGGAGTGCCCACAAGTTCTTGTCTTTTGAGCTGTCTTTCTTCCTTAAGGAGCTCAAGGCAACTTACAATATTAATAAAATACATAAAATAGATAACGTTAAAAACATAAAACCAAAATTTAAAAACAGCGTTTAGAACTCTTTTAATCAAACCATCCTTGTGGATTCCCTGCTTGTAAACACATAAAACCAAGCCATCGCCCAGAAAGGTGCCCAAAGTCACAGAAGAACACGTGCATGAGTATGTGTATTGCCCATACTAAAACAATATTGATGTCGACTTGAAAGATTACAGTCAACTGAAAAAACACCTGTTTCCGCTTTTCTTCTCATACCTGGGTTTTTCAAAGATTTGAAAGTGTAGCTTTCTGCTAGTCTCAGGAAGGGTTTTTCAAAGATTTGAAAGTGTAGCTGTCTTTCTGCTAGTCTCAGGGTATACAATGACAGTTCACAATCTGGAACAGAGCTGCTTAAGTCAGATATTTTGAAATACAAAAATTGATTCACATTTTTACTCTGTATCTCCCCCCCCCCTGTTAGAGCATGTTTGCCCTATAGCTCAGTCTTGTATGTCCTTACTTAGAAGTAACAAACTCTTAATTACTTGTATTTCTTTACTTACCAGAATGCAGTAGTAACTAGAACATGTTTATGGGGGGGAATTTGATGAATGATAATGAGTATGTTCTTATTTGTGCTTTCCCTTGGCTGTGCTGGATCACCATTGTGTAATGATTGTTATCTGACATCCTTTTAAGAACAACATAGGGCTGGATGGAAGGGTCCTCAAGGGTCGTCTAGTCCCACCCCTTGCACAGTGCAGGACATGCACAACTACCTTCACCTCCTTTCCCTCTGTGACCACTGCTCTATGACCAGAGGAAGTC